GAAACTCACCAGTGAAACTGTCATGGTGGTGAAGCAAGAAAGATGGCTTCCTGATGGGTTGCACCGCTCCGAGCAAGTGCAGGCATCAGATGATACCGTCAGATGATCACGAGGCAGGGAGGAATGGGTTTTGGGAGGCAGGGAGGAAAAGGTTTTGGTGGGGTGATGGAGGTCACTGATTAACGGGATTGGAATTAGTTTGGTGAAATTGTGGATTGGGTGGATTGGGTGGTGGGGTGGTGGAATTGGTGGTTTGTCTTTTCGCAGCCATCGGAGTATCCTCCGAGATAGCCCAGGTGGGATTATGGTTGGGGGAAAGTTTTGGATGTATGGATGTTGGGTGGTGGAGGAGGGCGTTTTGCTGTAGTAGATTTGCTGAAGCTTCTTTTTCTTTTTTGGACTTGTAGAATTGTGGATTGTTGATGATGGTGGGTTGTGTAAGAGCATGGCAGGGAGATACAGAGACGAGCTCGCTTGGCGATCTGACGGTTGATGCGGCTAGTGGGTCAAGAGAGGGAGGTATGTTTGGGGTTTTGCGGTTTTTGATGGTTTTTGGTTTGTTTTTGAAGGTTTCGGTGTAGATGAATGTGTTGTGGTGGTTGGTGGGTGAGACAGGTTCAACGATACCGGGTATGGAAATCGTTTACCGGGTATGGAAAAATCGTGCACACCGATGGAAGAGAAATAGGATGTGCAAATGATTAGGGTTGGAATGCGTTAGCTGGATGGGTTAATCAGCTTTGAAAAAATCGTGGTTCACTCAGACAGATATGTCCTGTGGGTCAACGTTCGGGAAACTAACTTGAGCGTCTGATGATAAGACCTTATTGAAGTTGGTTCTTTAGGAATTTGGTTTTTCACTCTAATTGACAAAAAACAGCTAAAAATATGGCGTTGTCGATGGAATTGGCATCCATAGTATGGCAAGGCAGGTGGACGGAGTGAATGAGGAACGAGGTGAAACTACCCAAGCTGACCCACCAAGGGCCATTCAGCAATTCCTCTATTTCATGAAAATTGTTCATAAAAAGCGTATTGCAAGCAATTGGCCCATTCTACTTACCCTTCAAACATAGACTTCCAATACTGGACCCACGACTTGCTCATTTTGCAACCATCCAAATCAACTACTTCCTACACCATTCATAGTGTCAGCCTCCCGGCCTAGATGCATTCATATCCACCTCAGAAGTAAAAGGCTAAAAAGACCACGACCACCCAGACGAAAAGGACCATCAGAACAACCAACGCCAGGCTTCCGCTCTCAACACCCTGGTCAAATTCGTACTCGATATCGTACTCGCTCCGGCCTGTAGAATCCACCTTTTCAGGATCAGACAGCACCTTAGTGCCGTCCTCGTGACCAGAGTCCATGGGAACTTCAGCCTCCTTCCGATCTTCGTCATCCCCTCCGTCTCCATCTCTTTTTCGGCGTCCAAAAACCTCCCCACTAGTAGCATCCACCTCCTGGCCTCGTCCATACACATACTGGTGGCCGTTGGAGTAGTCCACAAGACGGATGTTGCGGATCCCCATAACATACGGGAGACCTTCGAAATCGGCTTCACCGCCGGCCCACTCAATTGTGCCCGGGTGGTTTTCTGGATCACCGCCAATCCATAAACTGAACATCAAGCGCATGGGAGAAGCCGGGAAACCGTGCTCATTCCCGGCACTGAGCACCCTTCTGATGAGCCGCCCGTCGAAAAACCACATGATGCTTTCGGGAGTCCACTCCACAGCGTATTTGTGAAAGTCGGCTGTAACATCAGTGTGTGCCTTGTGGTAGCGGTCTCGATCGTAGTTCGAGATGTTGCCCTTGATGAAGTAGTTCGTCTGGAACTTGTCGGGCTCGCCGCCAAAGAACTCGCCAATATCAATCTCGTCCAAATCGTCGCTTTGCATGTACATGGACGAAATGACCGACTTACCGTGGGAAGCCTTAACCTCAGCTTCAGCACGGCCATACATGATGTAATGAGTCGACGCAAGCTGGGGGTTCTGGCCCCGTTCGAAAATCTTCATTTTGCCGCCGTCGGGCCCATACTCCACAAATGGCGATTCCAAGTTCAGCTCAAAGTACTTGGGTTGCATCGTCAAGGTATCGTGAACAGCGGCCGAAAGGGCCTTATTGCGGGCCACGCACGACCAGTCGTTCGCCGGATTGCAAGGCGAGTCAATTGCCAAAGCGCCGGCCAAAAACAGTGAAAATCGTGGGAGTTTCATGCTTAGGCTTGTGGTGCAAATGGTTGCAAAAAACTCAAGGTAGGTCGCACCGGACCGTTGACGCACCCGTACCTCCCGGGTCCCCAGATCTGAAAAACACCATCAACAGCCTTTTGATTTCCTGCCAATGGAGTTTACTGAAGCACATCGGGTGCTACTAACGTATCTCCGAGCCGTCAGGCACGTTTCTGCGCCGGTGATGGCTGAAAAATTCAAGCGCATCGCCGAGCATTTTGAGATTGAAACAAACGGCGATCCAGGCTCCACAGCCAAAGAGTACATTTCCGACATCAACTTGCGGATCCAGAAGTACTACTTCAAGGTCGAGTCGGCACGAGACCAGGTCCTGGGCGATATCGTCTATGTGTTTGTCAACACCAAGCAGGACGCCGTGATCCAGGCTTGCACGCCGTATCTGCCTTCAGAACTAGACGCGATCAAGCAGATGATAGATTCAATTGTGGCTGCTGATTTTGAGTTTTGTTTGCCTTTTGGCAACGCCAAGCAGCAGGTGGCCAGTGTGGCCAAGCTACGGCTCGGTGACGCGGACTACTTCCTTTCCAGGCTTGTCAATGATGGCTGGTTCAACATCACCTCCAACAACCGGGTAGTGCTCTCCACGCCGGCAATTGCCGAACTTAAAACATACCTTGTGGACAGGTACGGCAAGTTCTCGCCAGAGGACCCCCAGGGCAAGCTTCTAGACTGCCATGTGTGTGGTGATCTTGTCACCTATGGCATCAAGTGCAATCAGACAAGCTGCTCGACATCCTTCCACAACAAGTGTTTCACGGTCTTTTCCAGACAAAACCCGGAACTCAAATGCCCTGGAACATGCGATTCAACCCTCATACAAGAGCTCATGCTCCAGGTTGGCGCAGACCCTTAATCGAAGCTATCCAAGTATGCGGCTTCCACCTCATCTAGAACATCAAAATACCAGTCCTCGGCGATCTTTTCCTCGTAACGCTCACACAACGGACGGGAGCCGCTGGGAACAGGGAACTTGAAGTCCGGTCCGGCGTTGAGCGAAACCACTCCCTCCAGAAAAGCTGACATCATAGGGTAGTAGCCCAAGCTGCCGTCGTCTGTGTTTCTGTACGCTGCATTTTGCTGTTGCTTGGTGTTGGCGTCGGAGGCAGCAGCGTCGTTGTCGACGTTCAACGGCAAGAAAGAGTAGATATCCTCAAACATGGTTCCATGAGACTTGCCGTTTTTGAACACCGTGATCTTGGAGTTCGGAATCGTCGGTAGCGTGGGCGGCTTGTCGACGGTCTCCAAGAACGCTTTTTCACCAAAAACAGTGACAGGATTGAGCAAATGGTCCATCTGCTTGGTGGGCGTGTACTCGAACTGCTCGAAATACAAGGCGTTCTTGTACTTGATGGGGATCTGGTCCCGGACAATGTTCAGGTGCAAGTTGAGCTTTTTCTCCTCCTCGTCGGCGGCCAATTGACCTGCCTTTTTCCGTTTTTTGTTCGTATGAGAGTCCTTGGCAAACTGCTCGTTGTGCTTCCTCTGTTCCTCAAGCGAGGGTAGCTCCACAAGAAAGCCAATTGTGTCGCCGGTGCTGAAACCCTCCTCGTCTTCCATAAACGGCTTGGGACGACTGAGCGTGATTTTCTGTCCGTTCAAGTCTCGAAGACCATAGCCATAACCGTCGAACCCCACTGGAGCCTCCAAAGCGGCCTCTTTTCTGGCCACACCGACCCTCACATGGCTCTTGCCCGAGGTGTTGTTAGCATTGAGAATGTCAAATTCAAAATACCACTTTCCCTCTCTGATGCCCACGTTGCTTCGTGCCGAAAGCCAGCCCTGCTGTGTAGTAACTGCATTCATATCTTCACTACAGGCGATACCTGTAGATCTGTCAAAGTAGCTGACCCTGACTCTATGAGGAGCGTAGTCTGTAGTCAGGTACAAGTTCGAAGAAAACGCCCGGTTGGGTCGGCACGGCTTATACTTGAATCCACGCTTGTTCAACGGAAGATCGTCGTACTGAGCAAAAGTGATGCCCTGGTTCTGGAAATCCTGCGTGGCAATGGGCTCCACATCGAAATTGTCCGCTTCAAATGGCGTTGGTTTAAGTCTAGGGTGCACCTTGACGTTGGCAGCCCTCTGCTTGAGCTCCAGAGCACTCAAGCCTTCTTCCTTCGTCTTCAGACGAGTAGTGTTAGCGGTAGGTTCCAGCGGTTTCTCCTCCACTTTTGGCGGGGGCGCCACCTGGGGCTCAATTGCCAGCGCCGTGGGGGTTCCTGGCTGGGCAGCTGCCTCCGGAGCCTCTGAGGCCTGTTTTGGTTGAGCTGGTGCTTCCATGAAGAAGTTGTAGTTGATATTTGATGTGCAGGTAGAGAGCTGTTGAGTAGGATGGATGTGGTGATGGAGAGAGAAGATTTGGTGGAATTCGTGGAGGTGAATGTTTTTGATTCTTTTTGTCAAATTGATGAGTTTTTCGGTTGGGTTTTTTGTTGTTTATAGTATGTGGGTGTTTTGAAGCAATGTGGGAGTATGGCTGCGAAAGTTGAAAATTCCAACAGACGCAACCCATTCTACTAATGGGCTAGGTTAAATAAACTGCAATATGTCAATCATTCAAGATTGGGAACTTTTTCATGAAATGATAAGACAATTGAAAGAAATTTGAGGGAGAAGGTTCGTAGTCATAGCTATACCCCCATTCACTCGACCCTACTGGACTACACCACTACAAACACCTTTAATCATTAACCTTCCAGCACTGCTGGTCCTTTTTCCTATTTTCCGGGTTCGTGACTTCATGACTTTTTGAATCCGATCTTTTGCAAGAATGACTTCTTTTTCTTAACCTTTTTGTCACCGTTGCTCAGACCAGACGAGGTTTGCGAAATGGACTTTTTGAGACGCTTGTCATTGAGCTTCTTCTCGTTCTTCCGCTCTTCTTCTTCACTGTAAGAGATCATGCTCTTCACCTTGTATGGCTTGCCACCGCTGCTGTTGGACATTGTACGTGTAGCGGGGTGTCCACTGCCACGTGAGTGGTGGTAGCTCTGGTATGCCTCATGCACCTTGTTGTTGAGTCTGGTTGGGGGATTCTTCGAAGTGTCATTGATGCTGCTGAGATAATCCTTCAGCTCCCTAAGTGAACTTGTTGAAATGATGGCAAGCATGTCTTGAAATTTCGATTCCGACCCCGAGGTCTCAATCTCATTGAGCCTCTCACCCATGGTGATATGCTGCAGGGACTCTGTCAGCGAGCACAAGCTGGTATCATCCGGCTGTTGGCCCGCATATGACTCAATCGATGCAGTTGAAGTTGCAGAGTTTTTCCTTAAGTTCTGCGATGGCATCTCCAATTGGCTTTTCACCCCGCGGGTGTGGTCTGAGAATGTCACCAACAGTGGTTTCTCGTTCTTGCGCATCATCGTGTTCAGCGTTCCCACAACGATAACAGGCACAGGCGAGTACTTGATGACGTAGGAACTCAATTTAATGAGATACATTTCGTGATCGTCGTTGGAGGACATCTGAGGAGCCAGCGCAAACTTTGAAAGGGCAAGGCCATTGGTGGGTGTGGACCCAGACGACATTGACAGACTCACCTTGGTCTTACGCATTGGGTACTTGAAATTGAGGTTTGTGCTTTTGTTACCCAAAATCACCAAATTGGGCAGGTACTGCTTGAAGATGTGGTCTAGCATGAACTTTGTGCCCACGGGCGGAGCCTTTTTGCCGCCGAGCGTCATGGGATCAGCTGGGGCGACATCGATGATGAACTCCACAGTCACTTTGAGGCAGAGCAGCTGGTCAGGGAGCGACTGCAAAATGTAATTGAGCAAGTGCTCGCATTTCTTGTAGAGACGATCTTCAAGAGCATTTTTTTTACGCTGGGTATTGGCGTTGAAGTACTTGAGGGGCACCAATGCGGCCACGATCAAGTAGTCGCCGTTCTGGAGAAAGCCGATGTCGGATGTCTTTTGGGTCTGCAAGAGCCAGTCTAGCGAGTTCCAAGTGTGCTTGCGGCCCGACAACACGGTCAAGAGCTTGCGGGCGGTCAGGATGTTGTGGTCGTAGTCTTCGTGCTTGGTGGTGAGAGAGATGGAGGGGTAGTTGTTCTCGTTGGACAGCGGGTAGATCACCTGCTTGGATATGACGGGCGGGGCCACGGACGAGCGGCGGGGGCTGTTTCTGTAGTATGTCTGCTGGGAGTCGAACTTGAAGGAGTTGATGTCCGACAGCTTTGGGGTGTTGAACTGCGGGTCGAGGGCCATGAGCTCCTCGTCGGTCATGCCAGAGTAGGACTTGCGGCGGCCGAACGCACTGAGCTCGGCCACCAGCCCACGCGGCAGCTTATCGTCGTCATCGTCGTCGTCACAGACTATGGCTAGTTCCAGGCGAGGCACCGTTTCCGGAGGACAGTCCACCAAGTCATTGATATCGTGGTAGGACACGCCCAAGGAGCGGGCACGCGCGAGGTTATCGGTGAGCTGCTGCTGCGAGAGCCTGTTCTTCAAGATCAGCTTGGAAGGCGGTTCAGGAAGGCGAGCCCGTTTGTGGGAAAACGAGTAGTTGAAGAGTCGGGGCTCAGTCGGCAGCACGGGCTCGTTGAAGGAGTAGTTGTAGAAGCGCAGGGACGCCTCGTCGTCCGGGTGGACATTGTTAAAGGACACTCTTCGGCAGTAGCCGGAAACTTCTGTCATAAATCAGAAATATGGGGAAACGGTGCGAACAATCGGGGATTGGTCTCTCTTTATACCTTGACAGTCCACAATTCTGGGCGCTCCTGCACCGCCAAAGAGGCCCCTGCGACCCCAGACAGAGGTGATCAAAGCAGATAAAGAGACGGAGGGGGAAGGGGGTTTGAAAAGTATAAATAGGGGCGGGATTCGCTGAATTTGTGGTTTTCAATTTTTTTGGACTTCATCCGAAACCTTTACGTTTGGATCTCGGCAGCGTGGCCTGCTGGTTGACATGCATAGGCAGGCGAGGCTGAGGAGGCTGAACCCAGACATGGATTGACACCTTGAGGTATAAAGAGAGCGATAGATCCACAATTTTTAGCAACTTCTCTTTTTTCTCTGCCAAAGCTGACCTCATGAGCTACTTTCATTCTACAGCTCGTGCGGCGAGTGCGTAGGCTGTGCTGATGAGGCTATGAAGCAGCAGGTGGGACAATTCGATATTTGCTCTCAGGCGGCAAAACCCCGAGAACGAAGAACAAATACCACGCAACCGAGAGCGCAATTCACTCAGGTGACCAGCTGTCAGATTCTACAATTATACCCGAAAAAGCAGCTTACCATAATTTATGGAATCCAGCTGGATCGACGGTTTCAAACCTCATTGGATTTTCGTTTTAAGCTTTGGATCGACCACAACGCATACCACCTCCAACACCCCTACCCCATAGGTGTCACCGAAAGGAACCCCCGACCGCTTTTCCATCTTCCTTGTGTGGCCCCACCGGCACAATACGCTCGTTTTCCACTTGTCTTCTCTGCACAGAATTGTTCCTGGCCAGACCCTTTTGGGTGATGGAGTCTCCACATTCCGTCTACAAGCCCACCCAAGCCGTATCTGCGGACTAACTCCGGCTCCGATGGTCATGAAGCGATTGAGTTGGTTGAAGGTAGGTGAAATGAGATCCCACATGGATCAGCCAAGCGGGAGGTTGATGTGGGTAATTGAGAGACAGAGAGATTTAGCGGATTTAGTTAGATTCCAGAGTGCTAGATTGCCAGATTGCCAGAATTCCAGATTGCCAGAATGAGTATCGGTTTCTGGGGAATTGAGGTGAATGTTTAAGAATTGAAGGGCATTACTCGCTTGGTACTACCAGGTTCACCCACCACTGATAACCGATGGTGCGGGTCAGCCGCTTGGGCTTGGCGCTAGTAACGCTTTCACTTGCAGCCGAGGAAGAATGGGAGGGTTGTTGCGGGAGGTTGACTGGCATTTACGAAACCGCCACTTTTGTGACTTTTTCTTGTCGAAGCTGTTCCATTTTTTCACCCAGGCGTGACGTTCTCCGCAGGATGTGGTTTGGAGGTTTGCGGGGCGTGGTACCCTGGTTATGATAAGGTTTGCCAAGAAGCATGTGACAGGCCAGTCTTTGTGGGAGAAAACGAAAAGAAGGATTTTTGACAGCGTGAAGTGAATTTATGGAGGGGACAAGGTGGGAAATGTGGGATCCAGTGGTATGGACCGGTGTGGACTATTTGGCGATTTCGCAGCCATCCGTCTGAGAATGTGACGCACTGGGCCAGTGAGAATGAGACAGTTGCAGCCATTCAGCCCCAAATTCATATCACTTACAAAGAATTCACAATTCACCGTGCACCAAATTCAATTCACCAAACACCAAAATTCATTTTTGTGCTACGACGTGGCTCAGATAACCCCCGTTGCTTTGCAACTCCCTGGCCGCTATATCCAGTCGTATGCTGGAGCGATGATTCAGACCCGGGTCACTGCTTGCTTCCCCTCCAGCCTACCCTTCCAATGATTACGTTATTCAATCCTTCGGATCTAGACTGGCGGGTCGCTAGAAAATAAGGTTTTCGAGGGCGTTGCCGTTTTGGGGATGCCGATGCCCGCTTGGGTCGAATTTGCAAAAAACTTCCACAAAATGCCTGGACGAAACGGCCTAAGCCCGGGGCCATTCTCAGACGGCCCGCTCTGGCGCCAGATGAGAGCACCGTTCCCGCGTCCCAAGCCGCCGCAGCCCCGTCTGCCGCCCAAGCCATTGAAATATTTTTAACGCCCAAAGACAAATGCTGGAATTCTAAAAAAAAAAAAAAAAAAACAGCAAAAATGGCAAACTTGTTGAATTGTTAGGGTGCCGCTGGGTGCCCAATGGGAGGCCTCTTATTCGTAGCAAGCTTCTCTGCAGCGAACGCGCAGCGCATGTGTCAGGTGTGCCTGATTTCGCAGCCACGGCGGTGACCAGGAGGTTTTCATCCATGGTTTGGCATTCTTGAAAAAAATCAAGGACTGAAAAGTAGAAGAATTCTCCTAAGGATTTTGATGAATTCACTCTTGTTCTTTTGTTAACGGCTTGACGACTGTGTGGTTGTTTGAGGGTCCCCTTCACCTGCCACCTGCTACCATTGCTTATCGCGATGGGGCCATTTCAAGATCCCTAACCATCCCACCATCCCACCACCCCCAGACCCAATTCCTCATCAAAAACAAAAAACCATAAACTAAAACCTCCCTTCTCCCCCAAAATGCAAAAAAACTGAAAATTTCCCCCGCCCCGCCCGGACTTGCCCCTCCTCGTTTGCGCAGGCGCCATCTCTCATGTTTTTGTTGCTGACATTCGCAGCGCCTCACTGGTTCTTTCACCAACATGTCCTGGTTTGACCCCGTTCCCATTGCAAAGTTCGTCGAACTCAACAAAAAACAGGCCGCCGAGGAAGTGCCCGAAAGTTGCCCCGAGCCGCCTTCCCTCAATGGCCTCCAAATCCACTGTGGTCCCATTCTTCGTCTCTGCGGCCTGTGGGAGGAGAACCTGCCCAACTACAGAGCCCTGATTTTGCTTGTCACCAAGGGAGAGACAGAGCCCGAGGTGTCGTATGCTTTGGGGCCTGCTGCGGAGGAAAACGCTCCAACAGGTTGGAAATCGCCCGAGGAAGGCGTGTTTCCTGCCATCAACTTCCACACGGAACAGGGCTTCAAGTTCTGGCGTTTCAATGTCAAGTTGGACCTTGCCGAGTACGAACAGAAGGTCAGGTACTCGATCAACGGCCAGCAGAACGACGCCCATGCGTTCTTCCTTCCTGCTGCTGACCAGTCCATGAACGTCATGTCCTTCTCGTGTAACGGCTTTTCCTTATCGACAGACACCTCCCAGTACAAGTCGTCCTTGTGGCTCGATGTGCTTAGAAAACACGAGAAACAGCACTACCACGTCATGCTAGGCGGCGGCGACCAGATCTACTGTGACGCCATCAAGCAACACGTGGAGCTGATCCAGGAATGGCTCAATGAGACCACTGCAGCACGAAAGAGAAAGATCCAGACGACCCCTGAGATGGTTGACGAAATGGGCGACTACTACTTGCACGCGTACTTGGAGTGGTTTGGTCAGGGCTACTGGCAGGGCACCAACGGAGGCACGCTTCAGCACATGTTCCCCTTATCTATGGCCCAGATTCCTGCCGTCAACATCTACGATGACCACGACATTATCGACGGTTTTGGCTCTTATAAGGACCGTACTATGGCCTCCCATGTCTTCTCCACCATCGGAAATGTCGCCTACAAGTACTACATGCTTTTCCAGCACCACATGCTGGTGGACGAGGAGGTCTACCACAGCGACCCTTCGTGGATTTTGCTGAAGAAAGAAGGTAAGTTCATTAAGCAACGCAACCACTCGGTGTACATGCGTCTTGGTAAGGAGATCTCGCTTTTGGGTGTGGATTGTCGTACCGAAAGACGCCTCCACCAGATCATTGACCCCGATACCTACAACCTCGTGTTCAAGCGATGCCAGGAAGAGCTCACCAAAACTCCCGAAACAAAGCACCTTTTGGTCATGCTTGGTGTTCCCATCTTGTACCCCAGAATGGTCTGGCTCGAGTGGATTTTGACCCTGCGTATCTTCAAGCCTATTCGTGGTTTGGCAACTAGAGGCATAGTTGCACAGGGTTTGGTCAACGAGTTCGACGGTAGCATTGAGGTGTTGGACGATTTGAACGACCACTGGTGCTCGAAGCACCACAAGAAAGAACGTAACGCTTTGATGAAGCGCTTGATAGACCTTGGTGCTGCCAACGGTGTTCGTATCACCATTCTTTCTGGTGACGTCCATTTGGGATGTTTCGGCAGAATGAAGACCAAGATCCACCACCACCCTAATGCTCATATTCTCAGAGACGCCGAAAAGGAGAACCTCAATGTCACGGAGACGCCGCAGTACGACCCACGTTTGATATTCAATGTCATTTCGTCCGCTATCGTGAACGCTCCTCCTCCAGACGTCATGCCCACTTTGCTTAAAAGACAGAACAAGATCCACAAGTTTGATTCCAACACCACCGAGGACATTGTGCCTATCTTCATGTCTGACACCGACGGCTCTCCTCGTGACAATCATTACTTTTTGAACAAGAGAAACTGGAGTGACTTGATTTTGGCCAAGCAGTCTGCCGAGTACGCCAGTGTTGCCGGAACCGGTATCACCAAGTTCCCTGGCTCCAAGCTGGAGCACGACCAGGAGGTGTTGGCGGACCAGAAAGTGGACGAGCAGCACTTGAAGTACCCTGTGCTTGAGAACAGTTTGGTCACCACATTGCACGTTGAGGACGATGGTAACGATACCGAGGCCACGACCGCGGACTACGAGATCATGATTCCCGACCTCCAGGGCAAGTTCAAGTTGCAGCAGAGCCGTATCAAGCACTTGAGCGGCCAGTGAGACAGACCAGAAGACGTTTGATGCCGCATAAAAGTTGAACCTAATTGTTTGTATTATGCCTGGGCGACGCCGCCTACATTGTATCAATGTACTAATAAATGTGTTAGAAAATGCCTGGCATTATCAATGTGATAATAAATGCTGCATTGTTGGATTTTTCATGTAATTCCAAGCAGGTGATGATCATCGCACCTAAGCCCTTGGCCTGGTCAATTGAGCTTGTGTTTCAACATGGAATGGCGATTATCGAATACTTCAAAACCTCACCAATCGACTTTTCACTAGTCTGAAATTCCCGTTTGTCTTGACAACGGTCAGCCGTGCTTGTACCTTAAATGCCGCTTGCAACAATGGCCATGCGGTTCACCACAATGAGAGCTTATCGAGCCAATGTCGTAGGGTGCATTGGAATCACACGGCTATTGACCGAGCCAAGCAAAAAGATGAATGTTTTTGAATGTCAACTTTCCTCAATGAGAAGTAGTAACCCTGTGCATCAAGAGAAGTAGCCCACTGGAATTTAGCCTTACGTATCAACCCACGGCTAACCGCTGTACATCTCTTTTCCATCTTCAAGGTACCCTCAAAATCAAACCTTATTTCTCCACAAACCGTGGTTCAACGGCATTAGGCTATTCCGTGCTGCCCCGCTTATCTGGTCCACCCCACCGCCATCGAAGTCAAACTTTCTCCACAGACCCACACGGCTCTACACTTTTTTCCCAATCTCTTCAATCTCTAATTCTTCACATTTAGTGTTTTTTCATCCTCTCGCCTGAAACCTGCGTTATAGCCGCTCTGTCTCAGGGTCTAGTCAAGCCAGTGGCTGCGAAACGGAATGTGCAGCGGAACCGAAACACAGCCCAAGCCGCAAACAGACCTTTTTATATGAAGCAGAGATTTTGCCACGGAAAAGAAAACCGCCATTTTTTGCCAATCCAAGCAAAATTCCTCGGACTCCCTCGGCCAAACCCCGTTTCCCCTGAGCCGCTTTCGTTATCTGACTCTGAGTAGAGGGCTCTGCATGGCGTACCCCAGAGTTCGCAGCCATTTCCTTTCAGAAACAACGAAATCATCGAGATCGTCCTGATCGTCATCGGCTGTGCGGACTCCCCATAGGCCCAGAGGTTCTGATTTTGACAAATTCTTGCCAAGTGGATGAAGCGCTCTGTTGTGCTGGCTCTGATCTATACTTACGTCAAAAAAGCACAGATAAGGCTGCCTTTCTCGATATACCAGAAGACCTCGTTCGCCACCACCTCAATTAAGGTTTGGCTGTCCCTTTCTTCCGATCAGATCACTCTCGTCGTCACTGCTGCCGGTGGCTTGCCTGGCCTTATCAGACATTCCTTGCACATTCTCACAATCTGTCCAGACTGCCGTCAGCCTCCATTTGACACTTATCGGCTGCAAGAAATTCACAGGCGAATCCGTATAAGTGAAGCACAGGCTGTCAAATACACCCCGTCTGTTTTAGTTCTTCCTGAAAAGCCAGCTTCATTGTGCCACTTTGCCCCAAAGACACAATTCCGCATCTGCCTTAACCCGCTGATAGCACACCACTACCCCAGTTCAGTCTGAAAAACACTCTTCAAAATTCACTCCCTGACCTCAAGCTCCCCGTCAAACTACCGAATGGACGGTCCGCCGAGAAAGAAACACAAGGACCGTTCCGCTGCGGTTGTAGGCATATCTCGCCTGATAGCGGCGTGCCAGCGCTGTCGAAGCAAGAAGATCAAGTGTGACCAGAACTTCCCAAAATGCTCCAAGTGTGAACGAGCCGGTCTCGAATGCGTGGGTATCGACCCTGCCACAGGTAGGGAAGTGCCCCGGCTGTATGTGTACCATTTGGAAGAAAAAGTGCAAAGATTGGAAGCCCTTCTTCGCCAGAATGGCTTGGATCCTTCTGGAGAGGAAGATAGCCCAGTGCTGGCGCTGGTGCTGGTGGCTTCTGAGCCTGTGGGCCCGATGGGCGTCACCTTTGCAAAATTAATGGTTACAGCGAACCGCATGAACATGGGTCCCAGCGACCTGCTGGCTCTGGTCCCCGTGGACGTTTCTCCAGCGATACTACCACCGAAAAAGACCGCCATGGAGTTTATCCGAATATTTTTCGCCCAGAGCAACTCCCAGCTTCCTGTGCTTCATCGGGAGACTTTCCTTCGTGACATATTTATTCCCGTCTACGGCGCCTGGGACGAAAACGTGCTGTTGGCTTCAGACTACCTGGCATTTAACAGAAGCTGCTACGAAGATTTAATCATGCCAGATGAGCAGACCTGGTTGGCTCAGTACAAGCAGGCAATGCAGGCGCTGCTTTCTGGAGACCAGGATCCAGCCAGAGTATCTCTGTCAATTCCCAAGCCCGAGGGCTTCCGCAAACCGTTGTTTTTCTTGAACATCATCTTCGCCATCTCCTCGTCGACAAACCACTTGCAATATCATACCCACATGAGCGAGCTGTTCAAGGAAGCTGCCATGAGACATGTGGATGCTACGTATTCCACGGCTGATCTGCTTGAACAGCTTGAGGCGGTGCTTCTACAGACGCTTTATCTGGTCATGAGACCAAATGTCCCTGGAGTGTGGTATTTGCTAGGAACTGCGCTACGATTATGTGTGGATATGGGGCTCCACAAGGAGGAGCACCCAAAATCCCAGACAATGTCTGCCTTCACCAAAGACCGCCGCAGAAGGCTATTCTGGTCCACTTACTCAATTGACCGTCAAATGTGCTTTTATTTGGGCAGACCTGTGGGAATTCCCGAGGAGTCCATCACCGCACGGTTACCTTCTGAATTGGACGATGCCTTTATCGACCCCAGCGACAACAATACCAGAGACTATTCCGACAACAGCGGCGGCATGGCCTCCTGCAAAACAATTACCCTTTCCTTCTTCAAAGTGCGTCAGATCCAGCTGGAGTGCCAGAGAATCCTATACGAGAACGGCGAGCTTCCTAGACGCTTCTCCAATTTGGCCCAATGGAAAACACATATTTCCGAAGAACTCGAGCTTTGGCGTGCCAGGTGCCCCAAGAAGCCCCGCAAGATGAACTGTGAATTCAACACGGAGTTCTTTGACCTTAACTATTACCACACTCTTTTGTTGATTAACGGACTTTCCAAAAAGACTTTCCAACTTGCGCCCGACGCCTACTTCAAGGTTCTCGAGGCGCTGAAGGGCCTCATGGCGTGCTACACCAAGCTTTACCACAAGAAGGCCATCAACTACACCTGGGCTGCAGTGCACAATTTGTTCATGGCTGGAACTTCGTACCTTTTTGTGCTTTACAACTCAGAACAACTGCGCAGCCTGACCAGCGCTGATGAAGTTAAAGCAGTCACAGAGGACTGTCTACTGGTTTTGGCGCTGTTGGTTGCATCTTGCACGGCTGCAAAATCATGTATGGACACTTTCCTGATGCTTACGGCGGTGGTGCTCAAGTTGCGTTACGACGTTGCAGTTGAAGGCACCATGGTGGGAATCAGCAAACACCAGCTTGATCTGGTCAGTGGAACTGGAAGCTTAAAGGGCAATTTGGCCAGTCTTGTGGAAGGCATTGCGAATGAAAGCGAAAAGTCCCAGCAAGAAGCTTCCCATGACCTGCCTCGTTTTGGATGGGTTTCTCGTGAAGCGTTTGAACCAGAGCCCCGTACTTATGAGCAAGCTCTTCCCACGCCTATGATGCCCGAAACGCACCTCGAAGATTTCTTCTTGGAACTTGAGAATCTTTCGCCGGTGTCGTCTATCAGAGAACCAACCAACATGGACTTGACGATTTCGAACGAAATGCCCAGCGGGCACAACAGAGACGGAAAGCGAGTGTTTGAGCTTATCCAGCAAATGCCCACAGAGCCTATCTGGGACCAGTTCTTTGGTCGTCTGATGGCGCCATCCTTCAAACAAGAGCCCACGACGCCTTAGGTGTCATTGTAAACTGAGATTGATTGATTATTATGCGATGGAGTAGGTTATTATATTACATGTGAATGGGATACAATTTTCAGCCAGTGTAGGCCTGTGGTGACTTTGATGCCGTTTGGTGATGATATTCAAGAAGGAGTGATTTCCGTTGAGTTTAGCGAAAGTTGATTTGATGTTTATGGTAATCGTTGTCGTCAGATATCCCCGTTGTTCTCGATTAACGAATGCTCCTGAAAAATGCATCAATGTTCTGGGTCACCCCGCCTCAAAGATCAACAAGATTCGACGCCTCCGCTAGTATTTCACTCCCTCCATCTAGCAACTCCTGTCCGTTGGCAGGTTTACACTCCCATGCTGTAACCGAATCTCCATCGTAAGTGCCCCAAACTGAAACAATCGTGCCTTTTCGTAGACAATCGCCCTGAACGTGCAAATTCTCAATATTGATAGGCACCGGCTCGGGCTCAGCTGGCGCTCCGTCTAGCACTACCTGGGTGTGTAGTTCTGGAAGATTAGGAACTCTCACCAAGAACAAGAAAGGTGGTTTGTGTTCGCTGACCTGGGCCACAATGCGTACTTTCTGTACTTTAGCTGTGGATGCCTTGGGGTACTGGAGTGGAAGGACCGCAGGATCCAACACGATCCGGGGCATGTATAAGGAAAGTGGTGCTCTTGAATCTGGGGTAGTAGTTTCTGCAGGTGTCTGATGAGAAGGCTATAGAGGGTGCATCAAATAAGGGGTGTACGCTATGAAATTTTTGAAAAAATGCCTAAAATCGTCGTTTCATGGCCACGTTTGGAGGTAATCTTTTTTTTCCACAGAAAATTTCCTCTCCGTCGTATTTTGTTCAAACCATGGTGATCCACTAGGCAGCCGCGACGCGACGCGAATATCACCAACCTCATCAACTACATACTCACCATCATGAACGAGTCACTTGTGGACGGTACGACAGAAAGAGTCGCCGATAGCTTCAAAGAAGCATTTGAAAAGAATGATGAATTCAATTTGAGCTCCAGACCGAGAAACTACTCCCGTCAGTTTTTCTCCATGTACCAGCACAGACTCTCCGTATTGAAGCCTAGGGTGGATCTGGTTGCCATGGAGAAGTGGGGGCACAATACGAGACGCGTTGACGGCCAGAAGATCCAGCGAAAAGACAGGATCTTGGATATCTCTGGTGGCGAGTTGTGCTGGGTTTCTGGAACGGTCTTCACGGAGATGAAAAACAAGCTTGATATATTCAAGGACGTGGAGCATGGAACAGACGACGTTATGCCCAAAACGCCTGCTAGCTATATTGGCAACGAGGCTAGCATTGTCATGTTGGAGGATGAGAGTGGTAGGGCCATTTTGCATAACGAGAACCTCTTGGCTAACTCCAGAGTAGTGAGTGGTGTGATTGTCGCTGTTTTGGGAATCGAGATCCAGGCGGGCATTTTTGAGGCAATGGAGATTATTTATCCTACACCAGCTCCACAAAAACCGCTCTCCACATCCGATCTGGACAGATACATTGCATTGGTGTCGGGCCTTAAATTCCAGAAAGAAACCGACTGCGACTTGAAGACCGTGCTTTTACAGCAATGGCTCTGTGGAGAAGCAGGAAGCGCTGAAGACGTCGCTCTAGCTAGCAAAGTGTCTAGAGTCATCCTCGCAGGTAATTCATTGGAGGAATTTGAGGAAGACACCGAGCGGGCGAAAGACGACTTTGGCTCCAAGAATACCTCCCACTTCAAGGCAGAGTCCTTGGTGCTTTTCAACGCATGGCTTCTGTCGATCGTGGCTCTGATTCCCGTGACTATCATGGCAGGTCCCAAGGACCCAGCTGAAATCTGCATGCCTCAACAGGCGCTCCATCGTTCCTTGCTAGGAATCAACGCTAGGTACACGGGAGCTTTGGCCACTGACCCTGTGCAAAATGTGACGAATCCAGCCTGGATGGAGATGGAGAACGGACTCCGTATCCTAGGCTCCGCAGGACAGAACATCACCGACATCACCAAATACTACCCACCTGAGCTGGAAGTTGCACCTTCGGAGATCTTGTCCAAGACGCTACTCTGGCAGCATGTGGCTCCTACAGCACCAGATACGCTCTACTGCTACCCATACGACGATGCTGACCCATTTGCACTCGAAGAGACGCCGCACTTATACTTTGCTGGAAACCAAAGCGAGTTTGGCAGTCGAAAGGTGCAATTGGGCGACTTTGAGTCTACAGTAGTGAGCTTGCCAGAGTTTGCAGAGACAGGGCAGATGGTGTTGGTCAACACTAGCACGTTGGAGGTGAAGGTGATTGAATTTGGCGTCTAGAGCGGCTGATCCAAAAACGTTTAGCGATGAATACGACAACAAGGCATTGCCCGGTATTGATAAGAGCTGGGGACCTGAACGTTGCATATAATAAAGATTGTTCCCACTAGCTTGCAGAGTGTCGGAAGGGGAAGTTTGAAGCGTAAAGCTAGAAGCTAGATTCGGCGTGCCGAGCAAAACTCGAAGGGTTGAGCAACAATTTACGATTGCAGGCATCAAAGGCACGCCAGGAATTGAGTGATACCCGAGACGTGCTTATCCTGGTTCTTTTGGCTGCAAAGAGCTCTCAAAACGAGCATCAACATGCATCTTTCAGCAGGGCCATGCTCCACCAATTGACTCTCTCCAACCTCAATTACGCCCCAAAACTCCCCAAAATCACAGTTCACAGGTACCCATCACAATTATCACGCCATTCCAACCAGAAACATCATAATGACAAAGTCCATGCAAGGCCCACCAGCCCGACACGTACCCCTAAAAAGGCATATTTGTGTATGGCTGATCAAGAATTGCTGGGCCGGTTGTGTCTGCGGCGTTCCACTCTTGGTACGCCTGGTGCCTAAGTGAGCGGCGCCAACAATTCCTGTGGACTCAATGGCGCCTAAACAATGGCTGCTCCTATGCCCGCATGAAAGTAGCGGCTCAAGCCAGAAACTCCAAAGCCTGGCCTACCACAGACCCTTGCATGGGCCCATGTGACGATTTGTGATATTTCGCAGCCAAATACGAGGGTCCTGTAGCGCTGCTAAAGTTACGGAGGGTATATTATTTGACGGCTGCGCTGTACGGTGAGCCGTGTGGAATCCGAAGAGCCCGTTTTGTGGCCAATTGTGCCTGATTTAGTATGTGACACCTTTACTTACCCATAGTGACTAGTCAATTGACTCTTTTTTTTCAACCGCCCAGGGGCAACCCCACGTCAAAATACTTGCTTGCCACCCTCCCCGAGCAATGCAGTGGAACCCTCACTAACGGGCCTGTAGTGTGCCAAGCCAGCACGGATAACACCCAATTTTTCCGTTACTACTCTTCTCAAATTCAAATTGAAAAATTAAGGCACCGAAGCTTCCAGTCCATTCTTTGCCCGTTTGCTGCTTCGGAGGATTTATCCTTGTTTTTCTCCCTCGTGACAATCCCTAGTGCATCTGTCCCGGGCCTGCTGCGAGCAAGAGCCAACATTTGAACAGCTCACTCAATTGAGAAAAAATAACACCTACGCCGAACCCAGAGTCCCTTCCTTCCACTTACAATTCCTTCCCAGCCAGCATATCCTATTTTTAACCCTTCTCTGGCCATTTGTTACGGACACCCCTGCCTCCTGTCTGTTGCTCGCAAAAAACCACCGCTTTTTATCACCAACCCTAAACTACAACACCTCAGGGATGTCCGGCTCCGAACCGCCCGGCCAGTCCGGCCAGGGCCGCAAAAAGAATCTTTATATCGCCCACCGCCGTTCGCCGTCCGAGTTGACCACCTTGATGGTGGAGCAGTACAACTTGCAGCGTCAGTTGGAAGCTGTCCAGTCGCAGCAGAAACAGCTCCTTGAAGGTCACCAAAGACTGCCATCCCAGGGTGGCGGCCACCGGCGTACCGGTTCCGCTTCTTCCCAGGGCCACTCCCGTCGTCATTCATTGGGTTTGAACGAGGCTATCAAGGCCGCCGCAAACCAGAGACAAAACCAGGCTCCTCAAGACAGCCAGGGTTTCCTCCAGCCACTGAGCCAGCCGCTCCAGCCACAGGGCCTGCCTTTGGGTCAGAGCGCCTCTGGCCAGCTCCAGCTGGACTTCCGTTTCCCCAGCCCCAATTACGCCGCTGCTGCTTCCGAAGGCTCTCCCAGAGGCCATTCTCGTTCTCGCCTGTACCAGCAGTTTAAATTCCCTCCTGACAACAACCCGTTGCATCCCCCTGCGCCCACATTTCTGCTCTCGCCAGAACGCGGCGGCCAGGGCCACCTGAGACGGGGCTCCCATGCTCGTCTGAACTCCAAGACAGACGGCATTAATTCCAATTGGCGCCTTCAGCAGCAGCCCGCTCACCAAAGAGCCCTGCTGGCGTTGGAGCCTCCTCAATTCGTACCTGGCCACAAGGGTAGGGGCTCCTCCTTTGGCGGCCTGGTGCTGTCGTTGCTGCAGTTCATGCCCAACCAGGGTGGCGGCGGCCAAGGCAGCGGCAGAAAGTCTCTTTTCGCTCCTTACTTGCCACAGCTGTCTTTGCCTGAATTGATCAGCGATGGCCGTCTTGTCACCGGTATCTTGCGTGTGAACAAGAAGAACAGATCCGACGCCTATGTCTCCACAGACGGTCTTTTGGATGCGGATATCTTCATTTGCGGTTCCAAGGACCGTAACCGTGCGCTTGAGGGCGACCTTGTGGCTGTTGAATTATTGGTCGTCGACGAAGTTTGGGAGTCCAAGAAGGAGAAGGAGGAGAAGAAGCGTCGTAAAGACAACACCTTGCTGAAAAACACCTCCGTCTTGAGCGACGACATTCACAACGACGCCACCTCCACACTGAACGACGACTCCAAGGACGATGAGGGTCTTGGACGTAGGGGCTCTCTCAAGCAGCGTCCTACCATGAAGAAGAACGACGATGTCGAAGTCGAGGGTCAGTCGTTGCTTTTGGTTGAAGAGGAAGAGATCAACGATGATGTGAAGCCCTTGTACGCTGGACACGTTGTTGCTGTAGTTGACAGAATCCCTGGTCAGATCTTCACAGGCACTCTTGGCCTCTTGAGACCTGCTCAAGCCGCGCAGGCTGCCATTGACAAGAAGTCTGGCAAGGAGCCTTCTGTTCAGACCCCCAAAGCTCCTAAGATTGTTTGGTTCAAACCTACCGACAAAAGAGTTCCATTGATCGCCATCCCTACCGAGCAAGCGCCCAAAGATTTTGTTGACAACCACGAAGCATATGCCGATCAATTGTTCGTTGCATCCATCAAGAGATGGCCAATTACTTCTTTGCATCCATTCGGTACCTTAGGCGACAAGCTCGGCTGCATTGATGACCCTCAAGTTGGTATTGATGCCATCTTTTCTGACAACAACTTCCTGTGCTCTGAATACCCCATCGGCGATGAGGGCTACGTCAAGTCCTTGTTGTCCTCGGTACCTAGTGTCGAGACTGAATTGGCTAACCCCAACAGAGCCGAATTTTTCAACGACTACGTCGTTGCTTTCACGGAAAACAGCCAGTTTGTCGACCATGCCATGCACGTCAAGCGTCTTAGCAACACTATCATTGAATTAGGATTCCATGCTGTTGACATCTCTCATTACGTCCAGCCTGGCTCCGTTTTGGAAAGAAAGGCAAAGAAGATTTCCTCATCGGTATTCTTGCCTCAGAAGGCCGCTCACTTGTTCCCTGCAGAGGTGAACGACTTGATCTCGTTCAAGGACAATGAAAAGAGCTTGGCTGTGTCTGTCACCTTCGAGATTGACACTACTTCCTTCGAAGTGGAGAATGTGCATATCCGGGAATCTGTCGTCGTGCCCAAGCTGACAGTATCGTTCGATGACGTCGATGCCATTCTTGGAAACGGTAAAGTCCACGGCGAGATCACTCAGGCCACATGTGACTACATCAAGACATTCGCTCTTATTGCCAAAGAATTCCGTCGTCAGCGTTTGAATGACAAGACCCTCGGAATCAGTCCTAGCTTGACCCTCTTGGATCAGATTGATGACGAGAAGGTCAGGTTGCATATGAACATTTTTGAAAGCAGCTCTGCTCTTAGCATCGTATCTGAAATTGGCTACAAGGTTAACTCCACCATTGCTGTCAAAGTTCATGCCACTTTGGGTGACGAGGCTTTCTTGCGTCGCCAGGCATTGCCCACATTGCAAAAGATTGAGAACTTTTCACGTAAAGCATTCAACTTGGGCTTCAAAATCGATACCTCCACACCAAGCACTTTGCAGCAGTCAATCTTGAAGATTGACGATCCACTCAAGAGACAATGTATCGAGACGTTGTTGTACAAGTGCATGCCCAGAGCCAAGTACTACATTGCAGGTAAGCAAGACCCTGAGAATTACTCGCATTACTACTTGAACTTACCACTTTACACTCATTTCACATCGCCATTGCGCCGTTTTGCCGATCTCATTGTGCACCGGCAGGTGAAGCAAGTGATCCAAGCTGCTGAGAGAGAGAAATCACCAGACTTGGACGCTTTGAATGCCATCTCTGTCTACTGCAACTTCAAGAAGGATTGCGCTGCTAATGCTCAAGAGCAAGGTATCCACTTGTTGTTATCACAGACAATCAACGAGATGAGCGAGCATGCGGGCCAGTTATTAGTGATGGGCACCGTGCTTCAGGTTTATGAGTCATCCTTCGATGTATTTATCCCTGAATTTGGCATTGAGAAGAGAGTACACGGCGACCAGTTGCCTTTGGTGAAGGCTGAATTCGACAAGGCAAACCGTGTGCTTGAGTTGTTTTGGGAGAAGGGTGTAGACTCCGCAACTTACGTTCCACCTGACGAGAAGTCATCATTGAGTTACCGTCTGTCGATCAAGAACAAGTACCGCACATCAGCGCTGGAGGCCGCCAAGATCCAGCGCAAGAACGCTACTGAGAGAAACAACAACATTGTGCCCGACAGCGTGATTGAGAAGTTGTCCGCGTTGCAGCTCAGCGTTCCTAAGGTCGCTCCACCACAGATCAAGCCCTGGAAATCAATCCCTTCGTCACCATCCATCAGCCAGTTTGGCAGCCGGCCTGGCTCTGGGGCTTTCCATGAACCTACGTCCGACGACGGTGGCTTGAGTCCCTACTTGCAAGACGTCGTCACCCGTGTGGAAAACAAGTCTTACATCCAAGAGATTCGTGAAATGCAGCCGGTGCCCGTTTTGTTGCGGGCCGAGATCGGTAAGGGCATGGCGTTGCCATGTTTGACGGTGCGGGTCTTGAATCCATTCGCCGAGGCATAACGAATCACGAACTTTGAGCATATTGATAATACAGATAATCTTGAATTGGTGTAGCAGAGA